TTCTCTTCATGCGCACCTTGACTAGCAGCGCTTTGTCACCTTCAATTTTTACTCTCTTCATTGTGATCGCTGTAAGTTCATGGATGTGTTATTTGTTTGCTGACTGGTGTTTGAGATGATCTTTCATCCTACACAAATGAGAGAGCTTCTTCAGTGTTTTGTTGTCTCATCCTCGGATGATCATAGTTCGTACCGCTTGAAAGGAGATTTCGACAAATTTTCTAAGCAAGGTCCGAGTACGATCGTCTTGGAACGCTGGCAGTTATGCAACTAATTGTTCTAGGATATTCAACTGACAAAGATCGCAAGCAAAAACGTATTGAAGAGACGCAAAAGCTCGTTATAAACAAGCTTCTCAGCAAACCTAAAAGAAAGGTAGAAAGTCAGCTTTTGTAAAGCAGTTTCATGAAGTCATTCAGATAGATGAGCTCTGCAGTGAACTTGACAAGACCTGCTTCACTATCACTGATGCCATTTTTAAACGTGGCAATGCGTAACTTTCTTGGTGGTATTTCAATATATTTCCTTATATGAACATATTCAGGTTGTTTGCGTTCAGGAGCTTGCGAAGGAAAGGGCCGCAAGGAGTTTTGAAATTGTCGCAAGCGAGGCTTGAACCTCAGTTACGTAAGCTTTTTTTGTCATAACTGCTCTTTATGCTATAAAATGATTTAGCTCTTAACTGGGAGAATTTCAACACGAAGGCATGGAATGTAAGGAAGGACTATGTTCAATTGACTTATGCCCGACTTATGATAGCTGGAGCATTTTTGAGCGGAGGACTGGAGTTTAACACTACAAGGAAACAAGATATACTGATCATTGGACTTGGAGGAGGAATCATCAACAACTACTTCACGCAAATGGAAAACCAAGTGGTAAGTAAGGCTCCTCTGTTCCATCCAAGACGAATCGGAGTAGTTTAGTTGAATGTCACCATTGTCGATATTGATCCTGTTATGCTGAAAGTAGCCAAAAAATGGTTTGGTTTCGCGGAATCACCTTTACATCGCATTATTATTGATGATGGAGTGAGATACATTCATGATGCCGTTAGAAGAGGTATCTGTATAACGTTTGATCAGCTGTATCATTCCACTAATCAGGCGAAAAATATGATGTGCTTATCATTGACCTGTGCTACAACATACGCTTGCCCATGATGTGTCCAATAAAGGAGTTTTTGGAGGACGATTTGATCGCCTCTATGAAAGCCATAACAGCGGATAACGGTATCTATAT